AGCCTACACAATAAGCACAAGCTATATGTTCTGACAGACGGGTTTAAAACTTGATCGTCATTACTGCAATTGGCGTCGCTGCCGCTTGTTGCCTATCCTCTTCTTCAAAATCACGTGTGTGAGCGCGTTCCACGGATTGCTCACCGCTGACTGTTGCCCTCGCCTTCTTCATCGGGCGACTCTTGACGCGCTTCACTCGCGCGTGGCGTAGCTCGGAGTTTTCTCTCGTAATGTTGTCACTTTTGACGATAGTGTCTGCACTGTTGCCTGTAGTTCTGCAATTTGCACCAGCATCTTGCTAAATGTCTCTTGTATAAGTCGCACGCTTCGTCTGGTGGGCAGAGGGGTACTCGGGGCCTTCCGGTGAGTGAAAAGCACGAACTATCGGAGTCGGGCAGGATTTGAATTAGCAAACCTTGGAGCCAAACCGTCGTGTAGTCCACTATACAAGAACCAGACTGTCGTTCAAATAGACGATAACACACTTGTCGAGAAATTCTTGGAAGATCCTGTTCATGGTCAGTTGAAATGTCGAAGGCGCGTTAGTGAGGCCGAACGGCATTGTCAGAACATTATAGCTTATGCTGTTGTGTAGGCTATAGTGGGTATCCCATAGGGGGTACAACCAATTAGGGTTTCATATTTGTACTCACTTCATTCATAGTTCATCCATTTCTCGTTCAATTCTTCTCATGGTATCGAGCAGGTTCCCTGTGGGAGCGGTGCTTAGGCCCACCACTACTTCAAACTTTTTTTTTTTCTGCCCGTATCGCACTCCGAGCTCTCTCTTTCTCTGTCGACCGGCCTTTAGCCGCCCGCGAGGTTGCCGTTTAGGCCTCACGCCGCCAGCGCGCCGCCCTAGGACGCTAGCGCGCCGCCCGTTCCAGGCCTGTGCAGCCCGCGCGCGCCCTTTACAGCTCGCGCGCCGCCCTTAGCAGCCGCGTGCCGCCCTTAGCAGCCCGCGCGCCACCCTAAGCGGCACGCGCGCCGCACCTAATCAGCCCGCGCGCTGCTCGCTAGGCCCCAGGCAGCCACAGCGCCGTTCCGCTGCGTCGCCCTTGTCGCCCGGTGAGCCGCCCGTGGCCGCCCGTCAGCCGCCCGTGAGCTACCGTGGGCCGCCCGTCAGCCGCCCTTAGCCGCCCTCGGACACCCGTGAGTCGCCCGTGCAGCCGCCCGTGCAGCCGCCCGTCAAGCCGCCCGTGCAGCCGCCCGTGCAGCCGCCCGTTCAGCCGCCCGTGCAGCCGCCCGTCGTGCCGCCCATAGAGCCGCCAGTGCCGCCCGTGCAGCCGCCCGAGAGCCGCCCGTGAGCCGCCGTGAGCAGCCCGTCACGACGCCCGCGACGCCGCCCGTAGTCAACCCGCGTCACCCAGGCCGCGCGCGCCGCCGGAGCAGCAGAGCCGCCCGAGCCGCATGAGCCAGCCCGAGCCGCCCGAGCCGACCCGAGCCGTCCGAGCCGCCCGAGCCGCCCGAGCCGCCCGAGCCGCCCGGAGCCGCCCGAGCCGCCTACGATGCCAGAGCGCCGGGTCCTGTGGGACTGCTGCCTACTGCCTGGGCCGGCGGAGTTGTTGAGCTGCCGTGTTGTTGTCCTACTGAGCTGCTCGACCCTTCCTCTCTTGTGAGACTGTTGGCTGCTATCATGGCCACCCCTAGTGTCCTGGCCTTTGACGCTGAGGGTCGCGCCATTGACTTTGCGGTCTGGGTCGAGGACCTGCAGCTGTACTTGCAGTGCGATTCAGTAGATGACATCTCTCTCTTTGACTTTGCCTCCGGCGCTGTCCCTGCCCCTGCTGCTGATGCTGACCCCACTGTTCGCTCCAAGTGGGCCACACGCGATGCTGCTGCACGTCTTGCTGTGCATCGCCACCTCCCTTCCTCTGAGCGTGCACACTTTAGTCAGTGTAAGACCGCTCAGCCTTGTACGACGCTGTAGTTGCGCGCTACTCCTCCCCTTCCACTGCTACACTGAGCCGCCTCATGCTACCTTACCTCTTCCCTGACCTTGCTACCTTTCCTACAGTCGCTGACCTCTTTACCCACCTTCGCGCTAGTGACACTCGCTACCAAGCTGCGCTTCCTGCTGCCTTCTTCGCCGAAAACCCCCCCCCATGTACATCACCCTCTACTTTCTAGTCACCTGTCTCCCTCAGTCCCTTCGTGCTATTAGGGACCAGTTTCTCTCTGTCTGTCCCACCACCCTCACTGTCGACCTCCTCGAAAAGTCCCTGCTAGCGGCCGAGAAGAGCATAGTCGCTGTAGGGGCCTCTCGTGGTGACCCCCGCACCCCCATCTTTGAGGGGTGTTCTCCTTCCCCCCTGTTACCCTCTGTCGCCTCTGCTGCTGCGACCGACCTCGTTGGTCTAGAGTCGGTCGGTGCGGCGTCTGCCCCCAGCGGTAGGCGCCGCTCTGGCAAGGGCAAGGGGGGCAAGGGAGCGGGTGGAGCTAGCGGGGGCGGTGGCGGAGGAGGTGGGGGCGGCGGGGGGAATGGGGGTGGCGGTGGAGGTGGGGGCGGGGGTGGAGGTGCTAGTGGCGGCAGTGGAGGCGGAGGTGGCGGCGGAGGTGGCGGTGGGAGCGGCGAGGGCGAGGGTGGCGGTGGCGGCGGTGGCGGCGGAGGCGGGGGTGGCGGTGGTGGAGGTGGTCGGAGTGGCTCGTCCCAGCGGAGCAGCACTGGGGGTGGTCACCGCCAGCAGCAGCAGCAGCAGCAGCAGCAGCAGCAGCAGCAGCAGCAGTGCTCTCGCGACGTCCCCGCCCCTCAGCAGCTCCGTGAGTGGTACTCGCAGCGTCAGCGTGGTGGGGCGTTCGGTCCCTGCACCTACGTCCTTCGCACCGGCGACCGCGCGGGTGAGCAGTGTGGGGGCACCCACACCGCCCGCCGCTGCTTTGCTCGCCTGACCGACGCTTGGCGCCAGCAGTTTCCGGAGGCCTCTGAGATCCCCCGCTGGGGAGAGCTGTCAAGGGCTGGTGTAGCTATCTTTGATCTTGACTTTGATGCTATCCTTGCTGCCATGTATGCTGTGACTGTTAGTGATGAGGGTGACTGTTACCCGTGTTTCCCGCCCGACTCGGGCATTGGTACTGCTGCGTCAGGTGCCAGTGAGGCTGCTGCTCTAGTTGCCAGTGCGTCTGTGCTCTCAGGTACTGGTGAGTCTGCACTCTCAAGTACTGTGTCGGCTTCGGCCTCTCACACCTTCACCCTTGACTCTGGGGTGTCTCGCTCCTTCTTTCGGGACCGCACCACTCTTACGCCGCTTAGTCGGCCGGTTGCGGTGTCCCTGGCTGACCCCTCTGGGGGTCCTGTCCTGTCTCGTTTCTCCACAGTCCTCCCGTGTCCGGCGGCTCCCTCTGGCACCCTGTCTGGTCTCTACCTCCCCTCGTTCTCTACGAACCTGGTGAGTGGTGCTGACCTACAGGATGCGGGTGTCCACCAGTTCACTCCTGCTCGTCAGCGGGTGACACACTGCACAGAGGCTAGCACAGGTCGCCACCTGGCTACGTTTACACGTCAGCCAGGGTCGAGCCTATACACACTGACCACTGCTTCTCCTCCAGGTACTGAGTCTGGTAGGGTCTCTTCGTCTGGTCAGGTGTTTGCTGCAGCGTCCAGGTCTGGTCCTGAGTCTGACCCCTGTTCGTGTCGCCGTCTGTCTCACGAGACCCTCCTCTGGCACCACCGCCTTGGCCACCCCTCTCTGCTTCGGCTCAGAGGCATGGCCTCCCGTCTTCTTGTGTCTGGTCTCCCCCGGTCCCTCCCTCCCCTTCCTCAGGGCCCTGGCCCTGCCTGTGTCCCCTGTGTCGAGGGGCGCCAGCGTGCTGCCCCTCACTCCTCCCAGTTTCCTCCAACAGAGGCTCCGTTGCACACGCTTCACATGGACGTGTGGGGCCCTGCCCGCGTCCGTGGACTCGGTCACGAGCGCTACTTCCTGTTGGTGGTTGACGACTACTCGCGTTACACCACAGTCTTCCCCTTGCGCAGCAAGGGTGATGTCACTGAGGTGGTGATCAACTGGATCCGCGCAGCTCGTCTCCAGCTCAGGCAGAGCTTTGGCTCGGACTTTCCTGTGTTGCGTGTGCACTCGGACAGAGGCAGAGAGTTCTCCTCTGGCCTTCTGCGTGCCTACTGTCGTGCGCGAGGCATCCGTCAGACCTTCACGCTTCCGGACTCACCGCAGCAAAATGGGATTGCAGAGTGCCGCATTGGCATGGTCATGGACGTCGCTCGTACGTCTATGATGCATGTGGCTGCCCCCCATTTTTTGTGGCCGTTTGCGGTAAGGCACGCGGCGCATCAGATCAACCTCCACCCCAGGGTCTCTAGGCCAGAGACCTCCCCAACCCTGCTGTGGACGGGGAAGGTTGGCGATGCGTCGACGTTCCGGGTCTGGGGATCTCGAGCGTTTGTCCGCGACTTGTCTGCGGACAAGCTGTCCCCTCGCGCTGCTCCCTGCGTCTTCCTGGGGTTCCCCCCCGACGCCCCTGGGTGGCAGTTCTACCACCCCACCTCTCGACGTGTTCTGTCCTCCGAGGATGTCACGTTCGACGAGTCGGTACCCTACTACCGCCTCTTCCCCTACCGCACTCCGTCCCTCCCCCCGCCCCCCGCTCTTCTCGGTACGAGGTCCCCCCCCGGTCGACCCCCTCCCCCCTCAGGGTCCTGCCCCTTCAGGTGTGTCCCAGGTAGACGCGGTTGAGCCTGTCCTGGTCACTGGTGACTCTGGTGCTGCTGCGGGAGCTGAGCCTGGGGGTGCTGGGACTGGAGGTGCTACGCCTGGGGTTACTGAGCCTGGGGGTGCTGAGCCTGGGGTACTGAGTCTAGGGGTACTGAGCCTGGGGGTGCTGGGCCTGGGGGTGCTGAGCCTGGGGGTGCTGTGCCTGGGGGTGCTCTGCCTGGAGGTGCTTTGCCTAAGGGTGCTGAGCCTGGAGGTTCTTCGCCTGGAGGTTCTCCGCCTGGAGGTGCTTCGTCTCGCCGAGAGCCACTCTCCCCACAGGAGCTGCGTGAGTGGTTTGCCCGGCGCTGGAGGCGTGCTGCTGGTGCTGGAGGTTCTTCGGCTGCAGAGGGTAATGCTGCCGCGCGTCCCCGAGGTGCTCGTACTGGGGGTACTAGAGCTGCTGGGCCTGAGGGTTCTTCTTGAGCTGGTACTGCTGAGGGTGTTGGCGCTGAGACTACCGCTGGCGGTCCAGCTGGCAGTGCTCCTGGTGTTGTTGGGGGTTCTGGAGCTACTGGAGGTGCTACTGGAGGTGCTGCTGGAGCGGATACTCCTGCTTGGGGTACTGGTGCTGTCCCTGCTGTTTTTGGAGTCGCCTCGCGGCCCCGACCGTACTTCGTTCCGCTCCTGCAGCAAGTTCTTTGTCTTACACCTTCCCCTGGTCCTCCTCCTCCTCCCTTTGAGGGTCCACAGCCTGTCCAGTCACAGCTACAGCCTGCCTCCCCTTTGCCTGCTCCTTCTCCCTACGCTGGTCCGACTGGAGGTCTTACTGAGCGTCGTGAGCGTGCGTCTCGTCCTGCGTCGCCTGTTCGTAATGCGCGCACTAGTGGTCGCGGTTCGCGTCAGCGTCCTCCTCCTGTCCCTGGCACGCACCGGATGTCTCTGCGTCCGTCCACTGCTCCTCTGCGTGCCCCTTTGCCTTCTCCTCCTGCTTCCTCTCTTCCTGCTCTTGCCGACCCGGAGTCGGACTCTCTTCGTGCTGCCAGTCCTACTATCACGCGTCTCCTTGCTACTGTTGTCACTGACCCTTCTTTCGAGTCTTCTGCTGCGTCTGCCCTTCTCACTGAGATCGTCGACTTTGCTGCGCGCTGTCGTCTAGACTACGCTGCTAGTCTTGTCACTGAGTCTGAGTCTGTCTGTCCTCCGTCCGTCGGGGGTGAGTGTGCCCTTGGCACGGACGTACTTGAGGACAGGCAGGAGGAGTTCCAGTGTTTGGTCGCCGCTTCACCTCATCTCGCGTCTGTACTGCTAGCCCCTGAGGGAGACCCGGATGCACTAGACATCCCGACTCCGCGCTCTTACGCAGAGGCGATAGAGGGTCCCTACTCCTCTCAGTGGCAGGCAGCTATGGATGCAGAGATGGCTTCCTGGAAGTCCACAGGCACCTACGTTGACGCTGTTCCCCTTCTTAGGGCGAACATAGTCAGTGGCATGTGGATCTTCAGGGTGAAGCGGCCGCCGGGTTCTCCGCCTGTCTTCAAGGCGCGTTACGTGGCTCGTGGCTTCAGTCAGCGGCAGGGAGTTGACTACTTTCAGACCTTCTCCCCCACTCCGAAGATGACCACTCTTCGGGTGCTGCTGCACGTTGCTGCTCACCGTGGCTACGAGCTGCACTCTCTCGACTTCAGCACTGCTTTCTTGCAGGGCAGCCTGCACGAGGAGATCTGGCTGCGTCGCCCACCTGGCTTCACTGGGTCTTTCCCTCCTGGTACCCAGTGGAGTCTCCGGCGTCCAGTCTACGGTCTCCGCCAGGCGCCACGTGAGTGGCGCCACACACTGAGGACTACACTGGTGGCACTTGGGTTTGCTCCTTCTACTGCCGACCCGTCTCTGTTTCTGCGCACCGACACCTCTCTGCTGCCGTTCTACATCCTCGTGTACGTCGACGACTTGGTCTTTGCCACAGCTGGCACTGCTGGACTCGCCTACGTGAAGTCCGAGCTGCAGAAGAGACACAGGTGCACTGACCTGGGTGAACTGCGCAGCTACCTTGGCTTGCAGATCACCCGGGACAGAGCACGCCGCACCATTACCCTGACTCAGTCACACATGGTGCAGCAGGTCCTTCAGCGCTTCGGCTTCACGTACTCCTCGCCTCAGGCCACTCCTCTGCCTACTCGCCACTCGCTCTCAGCTCTGCCTTCGGATGAGTCCGTAGAGTCGAGTGGCCCGTACCCGGAGCTTGTTGGCTGCCTCATGTTCCTGATGACCTGCACACGACCTGACCTTGCATACCCTCTTAGCATTCTCGCACGCTATGTTGCTCCTGGGAGACACCGACCAGAGCACTTGGCTGCAGCGAAGAGGGTGTTGCGCTACTTGTGCAGTACATCGGGCTTGGGGCTAGTGCTTGGAGGGCGCAGTCCAGTGGTCCTCACTGGGCACGCGGACGCTTCTTGGGCTGACGACCAGGCTACGCAGCGGTCGTCACAGGGTGACACCTTCAGTCTTGGTTCCGGCTCTGTTTCGTGGCGGGCTACTCGCTCGTCTTCTGTTCTCGGCTCCAGTTGTGAGGCTGAGATCTACGCGGGGGCCATGGCTGCACAGGAGCTTCGCTGGCTCACCTACCTGCTGACCGACCTTGGAGAGCCGCCGCGTTCTCCTCCAGTCCTGTATGTAGACAACAAGGCCATGCTGGCCTTGTGTCGAGAGCAGCGACTGGAGCACAGGACAAAGCACATTGCTCTCCGCTACTTTCTTGCTCGTGAACTGCAGCAGCGTGGACAGTTGCGACTTGCGTACGTGGCCTCTGAGGCCAACACTGCTGATGTCTTCACCAAGGCACTTGCGCCTTGTGATCATCAGCGTTGCTGCACGCAGCTGGGTCTTGTGCCTGTCTTGCCTCACTTGCTCACTTCTTGACCTTGCTTGTACCTTCACCTATATATAATCTTGCTCTTGCTTGCTTGACTCTTGTATATCTCTATATGTGATCTTGCATGTGAACTGGCCTTTTGGCCTTTGAACTTGTGCTCGGAATGTGTGGTGACTTTGTGATCCACCCTGAGCTTTGCTTTTTTTGCTTGACTGGTCTTGTGACCCCTTGTTCTCCCCCACTTTGCCTATGGGGGTGTGTTAGAACATCATAGCTTATGCTGTTGTGTAGGCTATAGTGGGTTATCCCATAGGGGGTACAACCCAATTAGGGTTTCATATTTGTACTCACTTCATTCATAGTTCATCCCATTTCTCGTTCACTTCATCTCAGGCATCACTGTGATCTCGTAGCTTCCGTAGTGGGTGCGGAACGCGGTCTTGTGACATTCGTCGGCGAAGACCCGAATCTGGTGGCAACCGCCACGCAAGTCAATTTTCGAGAAATAGCGAGTGTCATGAAGTTGATCGAGGAGGTCGTCGGTGCGTGGAGCAGACATCTGTCAAGTTGCAGCTTGCATTTTTTTGCTGTCGCCAAGTTGAAGAGGATATGGCTGGCCCCTCCGTCGACGAACATTTTCAAATTATTTTTTAATACCTTGCCAACGACCAGCACAGGGTGATCGACATGGTTATCCCTGTTATTCGGCCGAGTGCGATCGATTGCATGAACTGGAACCACGACTCGGTGGGGATGATGGTGTTCGGGCGACAGAGCACAATCAGTAAGGGGTCCGTTCGTTTCTGACTCTTCCCATTTCCCCGCTCTTTCCCGTCGTTCTTCTTCGTCGGCGTTTTCTTGGGGCAGTCTGCATATTTGTGACCCGGCTTCCCGCAATTATAACACAACCCAGTGTAGGGGCGGTCTGGTGCATGGACTCCGTTGATCGTGGCCCGTTGGGTCTGGTCGCGAAAATGGTTTCCCTCCCGGGAACTCGCCCTCGCGTACTGCAACTGTGCGTCAATAGATTCTGCCAACTGTGCTGCTTCCATGAACGATGTCGGGCGGCATCGGTGCACCTTGTATTTAAGGCCGCTGACGTACTTGTCTAACCGCTCCGCTTCCGACATGTCGTCCACTTGGTCGCCGAGGGCCATGAACCTTGTTGTGTAGTCTTGGACAGATGCCAACTGCAACCAGGTACGCAGCTTCATGCGAGCTTGCTCCAAGCCGGATATGTGCTCAAAGCGATCTCGTAAGGTTGCGCCCCACTCCTTCCACGCGCGTATCTTGTTCACACCGAATATCAGTGCTGCCACTTAATAAACCGACGTCGAAGTCCCGTTTGCCGCATGTGTCACACCTGTCGGGATCCCCGTGTCCAAGGTTTGGTGCCACCACTCAAGCGCTGCGCCTCGAAGAAGCAAAACCGCGTAAATTATACGTGTGGCATCGTCGTTTACGCCTGCTGCAGTGAAGAAGACTTCAACGCCGAAAAGCCACCCCTTCACTCTAGTAGTCTTGTCCGTAGGGTTGAACGGGGGTGGGTTGACGGGTTTAAATTTGATCGTCGTTACTGCAATTGGCGTCGCTGCCGCTCGTTGCCTATCCTCTTCTTCGAAATCACGTGTGAGCACGTTCAATGGATTGCTCACCGCTTGACTGTTGCCCTCGCCTTCTTCATCGGGCGACTCCTGACGCGCTTCACCTCGACCCTGGCGTAGCTCGGCGTTTTCTCCTCGTAATGTTGTCACTTTTGCCGATAGTGTCTGCACTGTTGCCTGTAGTTCTGCCATTTGCACCAGTATCTTGCTCAATGTCTCCTGGTCCATAAGTCGAACGCTTCGTCTAGTGGGCAGAGGGGTATCCGTGGCCTTCTGGTGAGTGAAAAACACGAACTATCGGAGTCGGACAGGATTGAATTAACAAACCTTGCAGCCAACCGTCGTGTAGTCCACTATACCGTCCACACCCGTGTCACCAAACTACCCTTGAGAAGCGAGGTGAACTAGGAAAGTAGCTCACCGTCGTGTAGTCCACTATACCGTCCACACCCGTGTCACCAAACTACCCTTGAAAAGCGGGGTGAACTAGGAAAGTAGCTTTGATACCCGGTATTATGAGTTGTAAAAGAGAGTGCTTGGAATAGCGAATAACGAAGATGTGACTCAATGAACTGACAATACAATGAAGGCACGCGTTAATATAGTGGGTCAACCTAGCTAGGTGGGAACCTTGGGAACACGAGGTTGGGTGCAGGTTGGGCAAAGGAAAGCCGAAGGTGACGCGAGGTTTCTTCAGCAGCAAGCAAAGTGGCCGAACGTGCACTTCCAAAAGTTGGGGTTGTACGCGGCTAAGTAAACCTCTGTAAGGAAAAGGGGTTTTCCTCACATTTTGCTTCTAGAAGCAATTCATTAAGTTCTTCATTTTTACTTAAAACAAGACAGGCTCGATAGTTCCCTATTATGAAAAAAAATGTTCTATAGAGTATTGTTCCCTTAAAAGTGTTTTCAATGCGAATTCAGTATGGAACAATTTGGACATTTATTATCTTTTTGTGATTCTCATCAATATGAATTGTTTCTACCAACAACTTTACTCCACTGTTCAATTAGGTTATTATAGCGGGTTGGGCATTTGCTGTGAAGAAATGAGGAATGAAGAAGAAGAGGGGTTGCACAAGCAGCAGCTGGCATACATATAGGAAACCCTAATTGGGTTGTACTCGCTATAAAGTACCCCATTGCAGGCTAGACAATTATAACATTTTGACACACCCCCAATAGCCAAAGTGGGGTGTAATCAGTACAATGAGCAAGCAGGCATAGAGCAGGGTCACAAGGACAAGCAAAGTTAGAGGCATTCACAAAGGGCAAGTGAGGAGGAGGAGGCGAATCTGTAAGAGGAGAGGAGATAGGAGGCGACGGCTGAAGCTGCAGACACACGGGCAACATGAGTCACACTGGCACTGGGCTACCGGAACAGCGCTCCGGACTACTGGAGTAACTGGCTCCGCGGCTAAGACGAGCGGCAGGAGCAACGGACCGACGGGCGACTGGCGCAGCTGGCTACGACTGGGCTACCGGAGCAGCGCCCCGGACTACTGGTGCTGCTAACGACACGACGACAGCCTCCGTTCAACCTCCACCAACTGTCCCACCCCCCTTTCACACACTCCTTGCTTCACCCCTAGCTCCACCCCCACGTCACCCCCCTTTTCACACACCCCTTGCTGCACCCTAGGTTCACTCACACCCCACCCCCTAGCACCACTCCGTCGACTCCCACACACCCACCCCCCTCAGCGGCAGCTGCAGCAGTGGGAGACAAAGGAGGAAGAGGAGCAGGGGAGACCACACACCCGCCACCCCCTACTCGCCACCCCCAAACCCTAACACAGGGCAGGGCGGGATGGCAGGTAGGGAGGTTACGGGGGGGGGGGGGGGGGGGGGGGAAGGGGGGGCCGACGCGCGGCCTCCCAGGGCGCCAAAGCAGGCGGCAGAAGGGGCGACGCTCGCCCCCCCCCCCCCATGCGGCCCCCAAGGGGAGCCGCGACGGGCGACGGGAAAAGAGGGGGGGGGCGGTGCACGTGCCCCCGGTGCGCCGCGTCAGGCGACGGAGCATGGCCGGGGCGGGGCCGGGCCAGGGTCGAGGCAGGGCCGAAAGGGGCGGCGACGGGGCCGCAAGGGGCGGCGATGGGGCCGCTGGAGGCGGCGACGGGGCCGATAGGGGCGGCGACGGGGCCGCGAAGGGGCCGTGAGGGGCCTGAAAGGTCGGCGACGGGGCCGTTAAGGGTCGCGCGAGGGGCACGCCACGGGGCGTGCAGTACACAGAGAAGCAGCGGAAGCAGTTAGGTGGGCCCACATGCCAGGAGCGTAGATGCTCTGATTGCATGTGAAGAAATGAGGAATGAAGAAGAAGAGGGGTTGCACTAGCAGTAGTTGGCATACATATAGGAAACCCTAATTGGGTTGTACTCGCTATAAAGTACCCCACTGCAGGCTAGACAATTATAACATTCTGACATTTGCAACTACTGCATTAGATGTGTCAGCTAGATGGATGGCATTGGGTGGCATTGCCGAAAGCCCTCGTTCTGCGCTGGCGGAAAAAATCTTGTTCTTCGCTGGTAGAATTTTGACCGTTCTGCACTGGCAGAATTTTTATCGTTCTGCGGTGACATCCGTCTCTTTTGCAGCTCGAATTCGGCTCGGTATTTTCTTAGTTCTTGTTCTGTTACTATCTCGACAAGCACGTGCTCTGCTCTCTCATTTTCCTCCACCCCATACCAATTTCTCGCTTGTTCTTCTCCCACCCAGCCGTCGCTCTCGCTCCCATCCCGCCGTATCCTCTCCATCACTACTCGCCGTCACCTCTCCGACCCACCGCATGATCACTCCGCCCCACCCACCCTGCCATCTCCTCTCCCTTACCTCCCCGAGGTCGCCACTCCTCCCTACCTTCGCCTCTCCCTCCTCCCTGCCGTCGCCTCCCTCCTCCCCACTGTCGCCTCTCCCTCCTCTTCGCCGTCGCATCCCTCCTCCCCACCGTCGCCTCTCCTTGTCCCCGACGTTGCCTCTCCCTTCCCCGCCGTCGCCACTCCTCCCCGCCGTTGACTCTCCCTTCTCCCCGCCGTCGCCTCTCCTCCTCCCCGCCGTCGCCTCACCTCCTCCCCGCCGTCGCTTCTCCCTCCTCCCGGCCGCCGCCTCTCCCTCCTCCCCGCCGTCGCCTCTCCTTCGTCCCCGCCGTCGCCTCTCCTCCTCCCCGTCATCGCTTTCCTCCTCCTCGCGATCGCAGTTAACGGAAGTGGAGTGTTGGCCCCACCCTCGCTTGGGCAACGCCGACGACTTGGTCGGATGTACGGGAGAAGCAGCCGACCGTTTGCAATGAAGAAGCTGCTCGACGCGCTTCGTCGAGCTGCAGAGGTTCACTGTAGTGTTGCCGTCGACCAGGGGTGCTCGACGGCCTTCTTCTGCGGGGTAGGTTGACGAGGTGGCTGTCGATTAGCACAGGACTGTCACGGAGCTAGAGCCGTTGACCAGAGAGCTTGACAGCTGTAGCTGACTGGGCAGGGCAACGGGTGGGCCGTCGACCAAGAGGAAGCTCGATGGGACCTGTGGTCGACAAGGGGCACCTAGTGGTCGAACATAGGGACCTGATAATCGACCAGAGGTACTTGGTGGTCGACTAGAGCACCTGGTGGTGTCCAGGTCGATTGGGTAACATGCTTGACAATTTCTACGGAGGCACACGAACGTCGTCGAGGACGCGATGGCGAAGGCGACTTCGGGATGGTACCCCGAAGTCGATGTGGCTCGTCATGCGCAGACAACAACAAACGGATGCACAACGATGCAAGTCGGGCCAATTGTCTGCGCACACCTGAGAACGTGCGCACTGCTGCCATCCACGGGTGCAAGGCTGGACACCCGCACTGCTGCAGCGTTGGCACGCCGTCGGCCTGCTGCGTTGGCAGGTCGCCCTTTCTGCAGTGTTGGCGTGGCTCCTCTACGCAACGCTGTCAGGCGGTCGACCAAGCTGTGCTAGCGGTCGACCTGATATAGTCAATTGTTGTCATCGCTTGTGCAACCATTCTGTGGAAAAATAGCTCGGCGCCAGGGTAAAACCTTGACTTTTGACTTTGCTTGTGGAAAATCTTGCCAATTTCTCCCGTGAATGCGTAAGCACTAAGGAACTAAGCAAAGCTACGATCACTCCTAGTAGTTCGTGCCAACCCCCCCGCAGTCTAGCTCACTACCTTTGTCGAGTGACTCTCCGCATGGTGCGGTGAGCGTGGACGGCCCTGTAGATTACGTTTAGATAGAGCCAACTTTAGAACCTACTAAGTCGTTCGTAGGCCGGCACCAGCGTTAGTCACCATGGTCGACCTCATAGCTGATGCAGTAGTAGCGGACACCTTGGAGGCACGCTTGGCTGAGGCGAGGAAACGCCACACGGATGGCGGGTACAGGACGATCCCTTTGCTGATAGTCGAGTTGGGGATCCAGTCGCAGTTGGCGACAGAACACCCTTTTTGTCCTGCATCTCCTCGACCGGTGCGAAATGAGGGTGGCATCGACGACGACGTCGACGGCGATGCAGGACTCAGCGGCAGTGAAGGCAAGAAGCAGAAAGGGGTGATCAAGATCGACGGTGGCGTCGACAGAATTCAGGCGTGAGTGCAGTGGTCGACGGCGGCTGCAGGCAGCTCGTGTGCCGACGTCGATGGTTGACGTCGATCTCCTCTTCGAAGCGGTGGAGGGCTTTCGGCAACGATGCACGTGACGGCGGGTGGGATTGCACCGGCGTATGGCAACTTCAAGTTCTCGCCAGACCGAATCACCGTCACCCCACTGCAAGGTCGACAAGACCTCATCACCAAGAGGGAGTCCATAGAACCTCAGTTGGAGGTCGCCAAGCTGAAGGGCTTCGCCGACGGCACCGTGCCCACTCCGCCCGAGGAGGATGTCGAGCTGCATGGGAAGTTTTGAGATGCTCACCTGCTCACCTTCATGGTCATCTCGAGGTGCTGCTCGCCAATGGTGCAGCTAGCGCTCAGGAGCTGTCGAGAGCGACTAGATGCTGGTCACTAGGCATGGCACTTTAACCTGTCGACGTACCAGATGAAGGACGACCTGTACATCGGACAGTTGGAGGAGAAGACGACTCACATTTGGATGGGCGAGCAGGAGTCTGCGACGGACTACTACAACCGTGCTCATCGGATCCTTGCTGAGATGCCGATGGCAGGCGTCAAATACTTCACAGCGTCCTCAAGGGCCTGCTGCGCAACTACAACTCAAGAGGGTGACGATGGTGCCCGGCACACGTGAGTCCCTCGACGAGGACTCCCTCACCAGCTACATTCTCTAAGATGAGGCGATACAGGAGGCAAAGCAGCCCACGAAGCTCCTTCCGCAGGCAAATTACGCTGCACCGACGAAGCCGAATCGTCAGCAGGAGCAGCGCGGGAAGCCGGGTGGAGGTGGTAGCGGAGGTGGGCAGTCGACGAAGGACGTCGACGGGAAGAGGCCGATGCGGGGCACGGGCCATGGAGGTGGTGGTCGATGGCGGGAGTGCTGGATCTGCCACGACCCCGACCACCTTTCCTACGAGTGCCCCGACTGCGACGACAGCAACGAGGACGACACCAAGGGAGGCCGTGGCTAGTCGACCAGCCGTCGCCCCCGTCGAGATGAGAAGCCGCGTAAGGAGAAACAGACGTCGAAGAAGACATCGTCGACAAAGGGCGTCGACCACTCCAGCGGCAAGGGCCGAGGGGACGGGGAGGCGTCGTGCTTGATGGTCTGCGTGGTGGAGCGGACAGTATCGCTGGCACCGGAGGCTGGCTTCCAGGCGGTGGCGGCAGCTGGGCAGGCAAACCCGATGGCAGTGCTACTCGACAGCGGGTGCTCCCACCAACTAATGGGGACGAAGGCGGTCTTTGTCGACATGGCATCGAGTGACGGTGTGAAGCATGTGCGTGGCTTTAATGGGACGTTGCAGCCTGTCGAGATTCACGGAACCGTCGCTCTGCAAGAGAAGCTCGGGAAGCAGGTCCTCATCCCAGACGTGCTCTACTTTTCGGGCGTACAGGCGAACCTGCTGTCAGCTGGCCAACTAAAGGAGAGTGGAGTGCAGCTGCAGGGTGACGGCGACGAGATGGTGCTCGTCGTCGTGACCGAAGAGGTGCTCGGTTTAGCACGCTACACCTGACAAGTCCTCTGCACCGACCTTCGCCCCTGCTCGACACCGTCGCCATCGACTGAAGCGGTGGCTATGCGGACGATCGTCTCGGCGACGAAGTCGACCCCCGATCGCTTGCATGTGAGGCTCACACACGTCGGAGTCGAGACGATCAAGAGCTCGGCGAAGCATGAAATTGCTATCAGGCTCGACATCACACCGTCGACCGGAGCAGATGCGTCGTGCGTCTCGTGCGTCGGAGGAAAGGTGACGCGTCACACCTTCCCCGCCAAGGGCTCGGACGCCGAGGAGGCACTTGCGGTCATGCTCATTGACTTGTTCGGGCTATTTCGGGTAGCTACCAAGGATGGCCGCTTGTACTTCTTGCTATTGAAGGATCACCACACTCGGTTTGTGTGGGCCATGCCGGTCGCAAAGAAGAGTGATGAGCTGCGGGACTTCCAGAAGTGGCTGGTGCTGGTGGAACAACAGACGAAGAAGTCGGTTTTGTCCCTTCGCTTAGACCGGGGAGGGGGTTCTCTCGGAAAGGATTTCACCAACTTTGTCGACGGGAAGGGCATTGTCCACGATCAAACATGCCCCTACACTCCGCAGTAGAACGGCATGGCTGAGCGGGAGATGCTCGCGGCGGTTGAGTCCGTGCAGACGATGCTGCTGCATATGGGGTTGCAACACTACTAGTGGCACCTTGCTCTTTGACAGGATGTCTGGGTGTGCAACTGCTTGGAGTGGTCGACGACTCTGCCGGGGACAACTCCGTACCTACTGTGTCAGAATCTCAACCACTAGACCATTGGGATAAAAGGGCTTGTTTCAGTAGCGGGTCAGTGCGCCCATAACCCCCCAGGCGAACGTGCCTGTAACCCTCTCCAGGATCGATCGGGCATCCACAGTGCAGATCTACTGACAGAACGAACATGAACGAACACGAAAACACATGAACGCTCATGAAGCTTGTACGAACAGCACGCGAACATTCATGAACACGCGAAAGCTCACAAAAACACATGAGCACTCAGAACTTCACGCACATTCATGACACAACACGAGCACCACGAAATTCACACGAACAACCATGAAAACACATGAATGCAACCTAACACAATCGGGCATCCACAGTGCAGATCTACTGACATGCTGCTGACCGGGAAGAAGCCCAACCTCATGCTGGTGCGGGTGTGGGGCTGCATGGTGCAGTTCATCGTTCCCGAGCAGCAACGCGGTGGGAATTTGGCGCCAAAGGCTCGCTGGGGGCTTCACCTAGGTGTGTCGTTGGAGAGCAAAGGCTGGGAGGTGCTCGACCCGATGATCTTCTACGAGATGCTGTCGCTGGAGATGTGGAAGGCAAAGTATGGGCCGGCGTCGGGGCAGACGCAGGCACACCCGCCGACGGACACCTCGACGGCGACGGTCCCACTGCTCGCCAAAGTCGACGAGCCTGCTGATGAGGACGTTGTGGAGGTTATTCCACCTCCCCCTGTCCTTGGTCCTCCCTCCCCCGTCGCAGATCGGCCTTCGTCGACGCCTGTGTCAACCACCAGCGATGAGGGGAGCCTTGAGGTGTCGCTTGTGGCGCGGCCAGTGGCATCGCTTCCGGCCGTCAAGGCGCCAAGCTCGCCGACCAGGATTTGAAGCCGTTGACGACAGGTGAGCAGCATTCATAGGAGCTGGTCGAACAAGAGGCAGCAGCAGGGGTGCAGTCGACAGGGGAGCTGTCGAAGTCAGCAGGTGGTGAGCAGCCGGTCGAAGGATCAAAACAGCTGGTCGATGACGCGGACGTCGAAGAGGGAGGGGAGCAGTCGGCGGGTGAGGATTCCACCGACAACGATGCGTTAGATGGGCCCATCACGAAGCCTGGGCTGCGACGCACAGGTCGAGCTCGACGGCCGCGGGAGTTGCTGAGCTTCCACGCCTGCATTCCGCCAGCTGCCTTCACCATGGTATACGATGAGGTTGACGACGACCTACGATGCCGAGGAGGATGAAGAACTGCCTGAGCTCGACCCTGACCCCGAACACCGCTAGGACAACTCCACGATGAGGGTAAAGGAGGCGTTGGCGAGCTGGAAAGGCGAGGCGGTGAAGGCCGCCATGGAAGTAGAGATCCGTAGCCTCATCAGCATAGGCACTTGGGAGGTAGTCGAATACCCACGCGGAGTGAACATCATGAAGAACCGGTGGGTGCTGATGACCAAGTACCGCATCGACGACAGTGTCGAGCGCGAGAAGGCGAGGCTGGTCGTGAAGGGTTCACGTAGATGTACGGCGCCGACTACGACGAGACGTACGCGCCGGTGAGCAGCTACGTCACGCTGAGAATCTTCCTCAGCATCGTCGCCATCCTCGACCTCAACCTGATGCAGCTTGACATGAAGAACGCTTTCCTGCAAAGCAAGCTCGACAGGGTGCTCTACATGTACCAGCCGTACTACTTCAACGATGGGACTGGCTGCTCGACAAGCTGCTGAAGAGCCTCTACGGGATGAAGCAGTCACCGCTGCTGTGGTACAGGGCTCTCGACAGTGTGCTACTTGGCACTGGCTGGAAGAAGAGCCAAGTCAACACGGCGCTCTACTTCAAGGCCGGCGACGACGAGGTGACCTGCTGGGTGCTGGTCTACGTCGACGACCTACTCGCCACCAGCAGCACCGCTATGCGGAAGGAGCTGAAGGAGCTGCTGGAGGCCGCCTTCGGGCTGCGTGAGATCTCGCCGGTGGTGAAGTAACTTGGGCTGGAGATCGTGCGTGACAGGCCGACGAGGAAGTTGTGGCTGCACGAGCAGAACTATGCCGACACACTACGTAGGTGCTTCATCGCCGAGGAGCAAGGCGGGCGCATCC